TCTGAAATATAATTTTAACTTGTATAATCCAGACAAGTATACTTTCATTTGGTTCTCCAGAGTAGGTTGACAATTTAATTAAAAGGTGAGGTGAAGATTTAGAATTAAAGAGATCATCTTCTTTTACTGTCTTGATTAATTCAATTATGTTTGCCATAAATTGTGTGAATTGTTTTGGATTTATTCTGACAAAATATTATTTTATTAAAACTAAATATGTATCTGTATGTAGTGTGTGATATATAAATGTAAGATATTAGAGGGTGATGTTTGTAATAATCATATTTGCTGCTATCAAGTTGTAAGATTATTTTGTTAATAGTTATAAATAAGATAAAATATGATATGAACAGTTTTAATTTTATAACTTATGATTATTTTTATTATTTAAAAGTATTTAAATCTGAAGAAAAAGTACAGAACAGATAGATTATATTTATAAGAAAGAAATAAATACAAAATATAAATAAATTAATAATAATTTCTAATTAAAATACATATGGATTGAACAGAATTAATTAACTTAATTTGCATCTCTAGAGGGTAACTAATCATAATTTAATAATTAATAATAATTATAAATAATAATAAATAATAATATAAATAATAATAAAAAAGAACGAATAAGAAAATAAAGAATTATTAAAAGAAATAATTAAATAAAATATTAATAATCTAAATTTGTAATTGTGATACACATGGTGATTATCTAAGTAATAATATGCTAAATCTAGATATATTTAATACATAATGATCATTTATGTATCCAGAGTGAAAATGATCTTCTTATAAATATAATACAAAGCTAATCTATTATACAAATAGTGCAAAATAAAGATCTAAGCTAAAAGAGATCTAAAGAAAGATAACCCAATCAAAATTATTATATAATTATAAAAAATATAAGTAAATACATGTACTATAATTAAACTAAGAGTTATAATTTTAATTATAATTATAAAAAATGAGTTATAATTCTAGATAACAACTTGATTATATTTATTTTTTTAATTATTAATAATATTAGAGAATAAATATATATTATATAATATAAATTACTATAAAATTATTCTTCTCTCCTTTTCAGATATTATTTTTATTATATTTAATTAGCTAATTATTTTGATCATGATTTTTGAGATTTTTTCTTTCTTTTCTCTTAATAATTACATGATATATATTTATTTTCTTATTAAATATAACTATAAAAAATATAATTATAGAGTTCTAATTGCAAATTATAAATTTTATGATTAGATTTTTCTATATTTGTTAAAAATACTAAGCTTAAAATTAATAAAATAAAAATTATAATAAATAAAACTTTCTTTGTAAATTTTTATTAGATTATTAATATATAATATAAATAAATTAATTTTATTTTTAAGTTAAATTTTTATAATTAAAATTAATATTTATATATATTTATATAGAGAGAGATTATTATTTTCTGTATAATTAATTAAAACTAAAGTAAAATTTTTATTATTTTATAATAATCAATATAATTATTATTATATTCAAAAATTTATTTTGAAATTTAATTACATTAGAAAAAAGCAACTTTTATTTTAGAAAATATTTAGTTTAATCTCTTTTAAATAAATTCCAAAATAATTTGTCTTAAATTATATAAATATTTTAATATAACTTTTTCTTTTATTATTTAAATTCGATTATTTTAATAATAATCTATCAACTAAATTTGCTTTATAAATTAATTTAAATTTTCTTTTTGCAAATATTTAATATTACTAAAACTTCTAATCTAAATTTATTTGATCATTTTATATTAATCATTACTTTATTGTATTCTTTATTAAATTATTAATATTTTATTTCTGTTAGACAATTTATCATTATAAATTTATTAAAATATTGAAATTATTAGTGCAATTCTTATTTTTCTAATAATTATAATATTTACTATATATATTATAATAATGAGTATTATGAGTTAAATACTCATTATTGTAATCCTCATAGATATAATAATAAGTATTTAATTTCATTTTTGAGTTCATTATATAAAATGCAAATTACCATAAATTGCAATGTATAGTATTCTTTCTTGTAATAAATCCAAGAAATTTAAATTTTAATTTAATGACTTTTCTAATAAAACAAAATTTTGTTTTACAAATAAAATAAATTAAAATTCACAATGTAATTTCTTAAATTTTAGTTAATAATTTGTTAGCCTTGAGATTAAATTGAAATTCAAATTACTTAGATTTATTACAGGGGGGGGGGGATTATACACCACGATTTATAGTACTTGAATAATAGAATATATATTCTTAAAGATTATCAGCTTTTCATTATAATATGAAATAATAAAAAAAGCATTTCTACAAATAAAACAAAAATAATAAATCCAATTTATAACAGTCGAAGCTTTGTTTCAAGAATAAATAATAGGTTTTTTCATTTATTATTGATCAATCCAAAATCTGACCTGATCCAAATATTATTGGTTCAGGTCAGTTTGGATTTGGATCAAACCTGACCTGATCAATATCAAATGCAAACTGAAATTTCAGTTCAGATCCGATTTTTCTCAAATCTAATTCGAACTGATCTGAATGGAGCTTTAATTAAAATATTTTCTAAATATAACTTATACATTGAAGTTATATCTTTAACAGTCTTCTTTTTAAGTCTTTCAATGGTTAATCAGGATAGATTTTATTAATATATGAATATAAAAATACAACTTTTAAAAACAACACATATTTTAATATTGAATTATGAATCATTTTATTATAATTACACAACAATCTGAAGCTGATAAGAGTAATATATATTGCTTTTGTAAACTTTACACAATTAATAAATATATATGGCTGATGAGTATATAAATTCTCAAATTTATTAAGAATTTGTCAAGCACAAAAAGATTTGCTTCAATGTTTTAAAATGATTGATTAATCAAGATTTCTTTATTATCTCTGATTGATTAGTTTAGCTTATACATATATTTCGTTTTTGGACAAATTATAATTTTGTAATATTTTAATATTCTTTAACCCAGGTTATATCAAAGTTTAAATAAGTTGATTTTAAACAAAACTATCTAAACTTTAGATTTGAAACTTTTAAAAATTAGCTTCAAATTGATCAAGCTTTAAATTGACAAACTCAATAAAACCAAACAGATATATCTAATGTTAATTTGTTTCATATTAATTTTATTTAAATTGTTTAACGTGATCTATTTACGATGCCATTCATATTAAAGTTAGAACCTATCATCATCGTTATACTTTAATTTCAATTTAGAGAATAAAATATTCTAGCATGCTTGGTTTTATGTGAATCAAATGAAACTAAGTTACATAGAGCTTTCCTTATCTATATTTGGATCAAAATAAATTAAACCAAAGCGAACTTCCATCCCTAATGACATCCAGAAAAGTACATGACGCATATAAAAAATTCTACTAACCAAGCTATTTTAAATTAAAATTTTAGCTCTATTTTTGAAATACACTATTAATCTGGTTATATGAATTTCTGATTATACTGAAGATTTCTTCAGCCACCATCTATTTTAAGTTATAATGAGACTTTGTACAGTCTAATTTATTGCAATCAGATTGTCTGTGTATATGAAAAAGTCAGTTACGTGCGTAGAAGCTCACTTTTTAGATAATTTGAACACGTAAATAATGTATATACATACTCACTCTCGATGTGACGATTAGCTGATTGAATTTAAGTTCATTATATACAATATTTCTCGATGTAATGAATGTTTTCTAAAGATTTTCTTTCGTAACAAATAAAAAGTTATAATTAATTCTGTCAGCCTATAACATCTGTTGCATCAAGAATGGCTTGTTATCTAGAAATATTATTCATTAGAGGGAGTTCGTTACGTCGGTGCATGAAACAAATTTTGTTCTATCTGGCCTATATTCGTGCATCCCATTTCTTTTTTTGATATATCGTATGATTATTTATTTAAGTAAATAAAACAAATTCTTTTTTACTTTACAATTGATTACATAATAAAAATTTTGATTTTGTACTCAGTGACTATGTAAAAACATGAAAAAATTTTCATGTCTACGAAGACCCATTAAAAGTCCATTTACAAAAACAGAAAGGATGTAAAGCCTATTAGTTTCTAAACAAACTTGCTTTTGTAAGCGCACAATTGTTTTACAGATAGAAAGGAATGATTATCTTTGTAGTGGATAATTGTCTGTCGCATATGAAATAATCATTGAATCATTAACTGGTTGCAAGTAAAAATCGTATGTTGGGCATTTTAGGAAAACTGAAATTCCGCCTAAAGGTTTTCCACAATAATGATGCTGCTTTACATCCATGTACACTTCTTCATATATTCTGGGTTTTTACTAACATTTAAATGCATGCAAAGCCCAAATGTTTAAAAAGTTATGTCAATCTCAATGAGAAATAGAAAGAAAATTGTATCAATAAGAAATAGGAAAAAAGTTGTACGTGGGAGAGAAGTTGTTTATATATGTAATCAGTATTAATAGGTAAAGGACTTCTTTGTCAAGCTTTATGAAAACTATTATGTAATTTGTTACAATAGGGAAGACAATCATAAAGTTTTTCATATGAAAAGAAACTGTCGCTATCATAATTGCTATTTACCCCTTAACGTACATATTAGATTATCATCTATAAAAAGCAAAATTTATAATGTGTAAAATAGAAAAGATTCAAGTACCCGCAGATGCATGCTTTAGTAGTCTGGAACAATTCAAATATGATATCGATGTGTTTTTGCATATTGTGGTTTTCAATGGGTATATCGCGCAAAATATCCCAAATTAGTTTATGGTACAACAAGTGCTTTCTGATAAATAAGCGAAGTCTAGCAAATATTTTTTATAATTAAAACTTTCAAAAACTTCAAAAACTTCAAAAACTTAAAAGTCAAAATATGAAGTCTGCTTTAAAGATCTTTTTATGTCTTTTGGTGGTGTTTGTAATCTTTGGAGATGCTTATGTTATCGGGAATGGTATGTGTTCTGTTATTATTATTTAAATAATAAAAGTTAACAATTTCGAAATTTATACACATTTTTATAGTCGATAAAAAAGCGACGGCGCATGACACCGCACCTGAACCCTTAAAACTTGCCGGAAGTACAAAAGAAAGTGAAGTACCCCACAAAGTACTGAAAGAACGCTACTTACCCCACAAAGAACTGAGCGAACGCGATATTGCACCCAAACCCTTAAAACTCACCGAAAGTACGAAAGAACGTGATGTACCCCACAAAGCACTGAGCGAACGCGATATTGCACCCAAACCCTTAAAATTCGCCGAAAGTACGAAAGAACGTGATGTACCCCACAAAGTACTGGGCGAACGCGATATTGCACCCAAACCCTTAAAACTCACCGAAAGTACGAAAGAACGTGATGTACCCCACAAAGCACTG